TGGTTCATCTGATTGTCAGGAAAAAAAATGCAAATAATAATAACAATAATTTAAGGGAAGGAATAATTTCTGTCCGAATGAGGTTGCGCTGCGGGATTTGCCTCGAGATATCTGCGAAATAGGTAATTGGCTATTTTCCCGTTAGCTATCATTATATATATATATATGTGTGTGTGTGAGAGTGTGTGTGTATATATATATATATATATATACATACATATATACATGTATATATTGTATATGTATATATATGTATGTATATATACATACATATCTTGTGTGTGTGTGCGTGTGTGTGTGTGTGTTTGTGTGTGTGCGCGCGCGTGTGTGTGTTTTCTGCATTTCTTTCGTTTATAATGTAACAACATAGTATCTTCGAATTATAGATTCTGCTCACTGGATGAAAGCATTGAAAACTTTTTTACATTGTTATCCTAGCAATTCATGTATTCGCTATTTTGGATTATTCTTAAAAAAATGAAATAAAAATATATCTTTTGATAATCTGCTTTCCATAATAAATGAAATCCTCCAAGTACGATGCATTAAAAGTTTTTTTGCAGTGTAAGTCATTAGTGAGCTTAAATATTAGTTAAACAGTCAACTTCTAAAGGCAAAGTCATTCCTCTGCCTACAGGTACGACTGATCAAGCTGACTGACTTTTAAAAACAAAAGAAGCTTCACAAATTGGTTATTCCCCATTAATGCCAATGTTGACATAACTTATCAGATACACAGAATTCTAAAATTGAGGCCTATTCCTCCAAGGAGAAACAAGTTGTTGATCCTGAAGCCTGCGGTACGAAAATAAACACACTGTGATCCAGAAGAACGTGTATGCACTCTGAGCACGGCGAGAGAACCAAAGTTATCTTCACTTTGACAAAATTCGCGTCAGCTGGTTGTTACAATATCCGTTTGGTTGAATGGAATGGACAGATAAATGATGCCGGGGATGTATTTTATGTATGTGTATAAGGATCTATGTATGTATATAAGCTTACACACACATATATGTGTGTGTGTGTGTGTGTGTGTGTGTGTGTGTGTGTGTGTGTGTGTGTGTGTGTGTGTGTGTGTGTGTGTGTGTGTGTGTGTGTGTGTGTGTGTGTGTGTGTGTGTGTGTGTGTGTGTGTGTGTGTGTGTGTGTGTGGTGTGTGTGTGTGTGTGTGCGTGTGTGTGTGTGGTGTGTGTGTGTGTGTGTGTGTGTGTGTGTGTGTGTGTGTGTGTGTGTGTGTGTGTGTGTGTGTGACAAGGTATAAGTATACCTTAAGAGCAGAAATACATTTAGAAACAAAAGATATATATCATATGATGAATAGATATTACTCGTATATATCACATATAAATAGGTTCATAGAAATTGATATACTTAAGATAGAAAACACGTCTTTATCATCATCATTATTACCCGACTATGTATAAATATTTACGATTATCATATTCATCTTTACGCTATTGTGACTGTCATTATCATTCACCGCACAATCACTATCATCTTTATCATAAGAATAATTTTATCATAACTGTCATTGTCACTGTTTCACTATTCATTACGGTTCTTATCATCATTATCAACGTGATTAACAAATTATCATTATTATCATTGAATTTACGGTTATCGTCACTGTGATTATTACTTTTCTTAGCATAATCAATTTTACAACCATCATCATCAGCAGCATCTTTGTGGTAATTATTACTGTTATCATTATCATTACTATCATTTTTATTTTTGTTGTTGTTGTTATCATTATTAGTGTTCTATCATGCTCTTAAACCATCGTCACTACTGTTCATTTGATTCGTTATAATATTGTAATATCAACATCATTATTGCTATTACTACTATTGTCATTACCATAGTATTAAACAGTACTGTCATTACCGTAATCATTATCATCTAGTATGACCGTTATCAATTTTCTTTAATCAGTATTAAAATCATTAGTGTTGGCATCATTGTTTTCATTTTTTACTAGTATCACCATTACTATTATTATGTTTATGCGTTATATCCTTTTCATTATCATAAATTTCATTACCATTATCAATATGATTATTGTTAATACCATTATTATCACAATTATATCGATCATTGTTTTTTTTATTACTTTGGCCACAATATCACCTTTCATTGAACTGTTAAATTCATTGTTAATTTCATATTTGTGCCAAACAGCCATTTATCTTAAAAGAATTATCGTTTTAAACAATGATCAACTTTGATAAAAGTCTCCACTTAATATCTCATATCTACCTATTTTGGTTCGTATCCTAATTAACTGGCTATCAACGTGTCATAATTATCCTTCCCATCACTTAAATCATTGATGAATTTCCAGACATAAAAATGCCTTGATTGCAGGCACAATTATCCCAATCTGCCGTGAATGCAAACATGACCTTCCGCATTTGCCATGACCTCTTGGCGATCTTCGAGTTTGAACTTTTTTGACCTCTGTCTCGATCTTTTCTTATTTCTTGTTCAGGACGGGCCTCTTTCGTCACTAAATATTTCCCTCGTTCCTTTCCCCTTTATTCTTTTCCTTTATTTCATCTTTTCTCTCTACTTTAATCTTTTATTTTCATTTTCCCCCCCCTCTCCTTCCCTTCAAGCATTTCATGACCTCTTCAATAGCGATGAATTTCCACGACCTCTCGATCTTCACAGGAAACCCCATCACGACGAGCCTGGGGCGCGGTTGCCGGCGAGCCATTTTTCATGACTGGATTGCGTCATTTTAATGCGTGCCTTCTCTTTGCGGCTTTCGCTGGCGTCACTTCTGCTAAGCTGGACGGAAACTTATATATTAAGTGTATGTGTGTATGTACTGTATATATATATATATATATATATATATATATATATATATATATATATATATATATACATGTATATATATGTATGTATGTATATATATATATATATATATATATATATATATATATATATATTATATATTATATATATATATATATATATATATATATATATATATATATATATATTATATATATGTAATATTATATATATATATATATATATATATATATATATATATATATATATGTACATGTATATATATATATACTATATATATCGCTATATATATATATATATATATATATATATATATATATATATATATATATATATATATATATATATGCGTGTATGCGTGTGCGTGTGTGTGTGTGTGTATGCATAAAGAAATGCATAAGATTTAATTCTATTACAACGCATTCTTCGCGAGTTTTGCAAATTTATTCATTCTGATCTTTTTATAATCTAAATCAGAATCAGACACAAGTCATGTAAACAAAAACAAACAAACAAAAAATCGCACATGACAATTCATTACGAAATCCGACATATGCGCGCACATACATACACGCATATTCATATACTCATACGTAACCAGACACGAGTGAAGTGTCTGGGCAAGTCAGCAGACACGCAAAGTGGTGCACGAGTAAGTAGGCACATCACACAGGAACGTAAACAGCTGTTATGCGCACCTGGCCGTCATCTTACGTGCAGGTGTGCCAATCTCACGCTATAGGGCAGACAGTGACGGTTTCCTTTTTCACACACACACACAAACATTTATGCATGTGCGTTATATATGCATGTGCGCGGAATATGCATTTTGCAAAATTTAAAAAGTCACTTGCAAGGAAAGACGATGATGCTTGCCATTTTCACACGCACACAAACATGCATGTGTGCCATATATACACGTGCGTGGAATATGCATTTGGCAAGATTTAAAAAGGCATGAATGAGAATGCATAATTTCCTGTCGCAAGAGATGTAAAAACTTCTATTGCTTTTTATCTATATCTTTTCTATATTTGCTACAATTATCTCTATCTGCTCTTAGTCTGTATACCAATTGAAAAAGGGAAGAGAATGACTCCATGAATGTATTAATTTTGCGTTTTACACATTTACTTATCATTCCGTTCTCTTTATTACCAAAGTCCGTTTTTCCAAGTCATAATAAACAAAAAAAATCTGAACATCAACATACCGACAATGGCTTATTTACCTTTTGTTTGTGTGTGTTTAATTGATTCGTAAATCTGAGTGAAATCGACATATGACAAAATAACAGGAAGCTGCAATATTTTACATCATTTTATTGATAATTCTTTTTCCACTGAGATGTTATACAAAGTACATGTACCAAGTAAGAAAGTTAAAAGAATAAGGAAAGAAGAAGAAAAGAAATAGATCTCAAAGCGTAGATATATACACCATACATTATATACATGTATACGCAGATGGACATACATAAAGACAGGTAGGAAGAAACGCAATTCGATATAACGATAGCCACGTAAACAATACGTACCTGATTGTGCGTATGATGAATAAGATTGCCTTGGAAAAAGTGTAGAATTTTTTTTTATGTATTTTCAACTTATAATTAGCATCGAAAAATAGAAAGCACGGGGCGGAAGCTATACTCATCTTCAAATTAAAAATTAGTCGTGCATTATAAAAATCTTTTGTGACATGTATCCTGCTGAATTAAAGAAATTTTGTAGCTCTCGACAGCGGATGTAAACAACACACGTGAAGCGTAAACATAAAAATGGCGCCAAACATAGACGCATACATCGAGGCCAAAAATAAATGAAATAAAAAAGTGCAAAAGAATCCTCTCGAACGTAATTACAAAAACACCTTTCAAAAAACGACATTCAAGTACACAAAAAAAACAAAACAAAACTGAAAGCTGCAAACGGGACAGACAAAGGAGCGAAATAACGCAAATGATAAGCTTCAGAAAAGCGAAAGATTCGATTGCTCGGTGCGGACGCCGCTGCCGCAGGACCCAAGCTACACACCGGCAGACGCAATGCAAGTGTGAAGATATTCAACTGAGGGCGACAGAAGAGCAAAATTTCGATAGATATGAGAGGGAGAAAAAGGAGACGAGAGAGAGAGAGAGAGAGAGAGAGCAGAGAGAGAGAGAGAGAGAGAGAG